GGGCTTCACCCCAGGTATGGTGCTAATGTTAAAATTGTGAAAATGATGTATCTTGCTTATATTAGATCATTGGTTGATTATGCTGCGCCACTACTTGCTCTAGTGTCTGACTGGAAGCTTGGAGGGCTGGAAAAACTGCAGAACGAAGTAATGAGGATCATTTTAGGATGCCCTCGTACTGCCAAAATTTTAAATATGCATAAAGAACTTGATATTCCAAGCATCAGAGATCGTGTTACTGAAAGAAATATCCTAATTGGGGTTAATATGCTCAGGCAAGCTCATTCAAACCCCTGCACAGAAGCCCTCCAAACTTTCCTCAGCACTGGTGAACACTCCTCCAGATGGATCGAAAAAACTGGAACCGACCTCCGCATGAATCAGATACATGATCTATGTCAAGTAAGGCAACAGCGGCACTCTCCACTCCATGGAATATTACCCCATTCCAAACTACCATTCCTCCATTTCCCCCCAAACTACTTCTTAAATCACAACCAAAACTTCGCCTTGAAGCCAAACATGAGGCCTTAAAGCTGTATTGATAACTTAGTCACACAACACACACTCTCGCAAATTATTTACACTGATGGTTCTGTTCACCAATCCACTGTGCAGTGGTAGTGCTGCTGTTGTCGTACAAGTGATGGCTCTCTTAAAGAAATTGGAGCACGCATCAATAATTGGGCCTCTACCCTTCAGACAGAACTGTTTGCCATACTCCTTGCACTGAAATGCATCTATGTATCAAAGATTGACAGTTTAATTGTAACTGATTCTCTGTCATCCATAAATGCTCTCAACTCATTAAGCATAAATTGTTGCATGCTTGTGTCAGAAGCCAGACACAGGTATGGTAGGATTGTGGACAGTGGAGTCAGAGTGCACATGCTGTGGATTCCATCTCACATTGGTCTTCAGATGCATGATAGAACTGATAAATTGGCTAAGCTGTATGCTTTCAAAGAGGGAGTAGATTACAATCTTGGCTTGTCAGGTAGTAGTTTGAGAACAATAATACGAAAAGAACTTCAACTGAATTTTATGGACTTAAGGCTCAGGGAGATTGACACCAGTGAGTCCATCTATCATCATTCTATCATGCAGGAGGAGCCACATGTCTATGGTGCATCCAACAAAATAAGCGACTCTTGGATGTCACTACTGCCCCGGGTCCCGGTGGGGTTACAAGTTCTTTGGCAGGTTAAATCACCACCACCAGATGTAGACCAAACGAAATGTAAACTTTGCCAGATGGATGTTGTCACACCCTGCGTCATTATGTACTGGAGTGCGATAAAATTAATGAATTTAGAAACAACTCGCTCATAAATGTTCAAGAAATGGCAAAGTACTTTATCCACAGTGGTATTTGCAGACCATTCTGGAGAAAAAACCTGACTTTGCTAGCTGTAAATAAAGCTTACCACATGTGTGCATTGTGTGTGTGTGTGTTTTGTGTGTGTGTGTGTGTGTGTGTGTGTGTGTGTGTGTGTGTACTCACCTAGTTGAGGTTGCGGGGGTCGAGTCCGAGCTCCTGTGTGTGTGTGTGTGTGTGTGTGTATGTGTGTGTGCACTCACCTAGTTGAGATTGCAGGGGTCGAGTCCAAGCTCCTGTGTACTCACCTATTTGTACTCACCTATTTGTACTCACCTATTTGTGGTTGCAGGGGTCGAGTCACAGCTCCTGGCCCCGCCTCTTCGCTGATTGCTACTAGGTCCTCTCTCTCCCTGCTCCATGAGCTCTATCATACCTCGCCTTAAAACTATAGACTGTTCCCGTGTGTGTGTGTGTGTGTGTACTCACCTAGTTGAGGTTGCGGGGGTCGAGTCCGAGCTCCTGGCCCCGCCTCTTCACTGATCGCTACTAGGTCACTCTCCCTGAGCCGTGAGCTTTATCATACCTCTGCTTAAAGCTATGTATGGATCCTGCCTCCACTACATCGCTTCCCAAACTATTCCACTTACTGACTACTCTGTGGCTGAAGAAATACTTCCTAACATCCCTGTGATTCATCTGTGTCTTCAGCTTCCAACTGTGTCCCCTTGTTACTGTGTCCAATCTCTGGAACATCCTGTCTCTTTGTCCACCTTGTCAATTCCTCTCAGTATTTTGTATGTCGTTATCATGTCCCCCCTATCTCTCCTGTCCTCCAGTGTCGTCAGGTTGATTTCCCTTAACCTCTCCTCGTAGGACATACCTCTTAGCTCTGGGACTAGTCTTGTTGCAAACCTTTGCACTTTCTCTAGTTTCTTCACGTGCTTGGCTAGGTGTGGGTTCCAAACTGGTGCCGCATACTCCAATATGGGCCTAACGTACACGGTGTACAGGGTCCTGAATGATGTGTGTGTGTGTGTGTGTGTGTGTTTGTGTGTGTGTTTGTGTGTTCGTGTGTATGTGTATGAGTGTATATGAGTGTGTGTGTGTGTATGAGTGTGTGTGTGTGTGTAGAGTGTGTGTGCATGTGTATGAGTTTGTGTATGTGTGTGTGTTGTGTGTGTGTGTGGTGTGTTGTGTGTGTGTGGTGTGTGTGTGTGTTGTGTGTGTGTGTGTGTGTGTACTCACCTAATTGTACTCACCTAATTGTGGTTGCAGGGGTCGAGACTCAGCTCCTGGCCCCGCCTCTTCACTGATTGCTACTGGATCCTCTCTCTCTCTGCTTCCTGAGCTTTGTCATACCTCTTCTTAAAACTATGTATGGTTCCTGCCTCCACTACTTCACTTGCTAGGCTATTCCACTTGCTGACAACTCTATGACTGCAGAAATACTTCCTAACGTCCCTGTGACTCGTCTGAGTCTTCAGCTTCCAGTTGTGACCCCTTGTCCCTGTGTCCCCTCTCTGGAACATCCATATCTCTGTCCACCTTGTTATTCCCCGCAGTATCTTGTATGTCGTTATCATGTCTCTCCTGACCCTTCTGTCCTCCAATGTCGTCAGTCCGATTTCCCTTAACCTTTCCTCGTACGACTTTCCCCTTGAGCTCTGGGACTAGCCTTGTTGCAAACCTTTGTACTTTCTCTAACTTCTTGACGTGCTTGACCAGGTGTGGGTTCCAGACTGGGGGCTGCATACTCCAGTATGGGCCTAACATACACAGTGTACAGTGTCTTGAACGATTTCCCTTATTAAGGTATCGGAACGCTATTCTCAGGATTGCCAGGCGCCCGTATGCTGCGCGGTTATTTGGTTGATGTGTGCCTCCGGTGATGTGCTCGTGTTATGGTCACCCCAAGGTCTTTCTCCCTGAGTGAGGTCTGTAGTCTTTGTCCACCTAGCCTATACTCTGTCTGCGGTCTTCTTGCCCTCCCCAATCTTCATGACTTTGCATTTGGCTGGATTGAATTCGAGAAGCCAGTTGCTGGACCACATGTCCAGCCTGTCCAGGTCTCTTTGCAGTCCTGCTCATCCTCGTCCAATTTAATTTTTCTCATCAACTTCACGTCATCTGCGAACAGGACACTTCAGAGTCTATTCCTTCCATCATGTCGTTCACATATATCAAAAATAGCACTGGTCCTAGAACTGACCCCTGTGGGACCCCGCTCGTAACAGGCGCCCACTGTGATACCTCTTCACGTACCATGACTCGTTGCTGCCTCCCTGTCAGGTATTCCCTTATCCATTGCAGTGCCTCCCTTTTACGTGCGCCTGATCCTCCAGCTTCTGCACTAATCTCTTGTGGGGGAACTGTGTCAAAGGCCTTCCTGCAGTCTAGGAAAACGCAATCTACCCACCCCTCTCTCTCGTGTCTTACTTCTGTTACCTTGTCATAAAACTCCAGGGGTTTGTGATACAAGATTTGCCTTCCATGAACCCATGCTGGTTTTCATTTATAATCTTGTTCCTTTCCAGGTGTTCGACCACTCTCCTCCTGATAATCTTCTCCATGACTTTGCACACAATACATGTCAGAGACACAGGTCTGTAGTTTAGTGCCTCGTTTCTGTTTCCTTTCTTAAATATGGGGACTACATTAGCTGTCTTCCATTTCTCAGGTAGTTGCCCAGTTTTCAAGGGATGTGTTGAAGATTGTGGTTAGAGGCACGCACAGCATCTCTGCTCCTTCTCTAAGGACCCATGGGGAGATGTTGTCCGGTCCCATCGCCTTTGAGGTGTCAAGGTCACTTAAGAGCTTCTTCACCTCCTCCTCAGTTGATCGTTATGTGTGTGTGTTGTGTGTGTGTTGTGTGTGTGTGTGTGTGTGTGTTTATGTGTGTGTGTGTGTGTGTGTGTGTGTGTGTGTTTATGTGTGTGTGTGTGTGTATGAATTTGTATGTGTGTGTGTGTGTGTGTGTGTGTGTCTCAACAATCAATATTTGCACCAATAACTCACTACAGTTGTGACCGGGTGTGGAAGTGTGAATTGCTCATTACACTATAATTTGTTCATGATTGTAGCCATGTATAAACGTAAGTAACCATTCTTATAGGATTCATTACCTTTGTAACTTGTGAGTTCATTACCTTGTACCTAGTTCAGCCATCAAAACTTTGGGAGCCCAGTCCCTGGACCCATTACGTACCTCTGTAATCTGTAAATACCTTTGTAACTTGTCATGATTGTGACTAGACCTACCTGGAGTTCATTACCTTTGTAAATTGTGAGTTCATTACCTTCGTAAATTGTGAATTCATTACCTCTGTAACTTGCTCAGCTATCAAAACTTTGGAGTCCAGTCCCTGGACCAATTATGTACCTCTGTAACCTTTTGACTACCGCCCACAGGATGGGTATGGGGTGCATAGTAAACATATTAAACTAACAGAAGCATCTGTACATGTAGCTACTGTTTAAGCTGCAACAACTGTTGTAATGGAAACAGAATTTCCACCAGCAGTAGCAACAGAAAAATGCTGTTGCTACAGGTTTTTGCTTCCGCTGGAGGCACTATTTGCTGCTGTTGCTGACGCTAACGATAATTCCATCGCTAATATTATTATTACTATTTCCTGACGCTCGTTTAAAGCACTACACTCTGCTTACTCTCTGTGCTCAGCTCTGGTGGTGTCATCAGCGCCGTATACACTAGTGGAAGCGGGTGTGTGGGGCTACAACGGATTCCTCTCAGCTGGGGCCATCACTTTCTTCATGGTGCCAACCCCAAGAACACTCCTGCTGGCTGTTATCAATGCCTTCTTCACCACATTCATCCATTCGTCTCTCTCTCCCATCTTTGCTTCAGTAAGTGTTTTTTTTTTGGGGGGGGGAGGGGGAATTAGTATAGTGTGTTTGAATGATTAATAATGAATTGACAGAAAAGTTTGCTCTCTTGTTAAACGCTAATCACTTGTTCTCTCTCAGGTCCAGCTGCCAGTGTTGACTATCCCGTTTTGCCTCAGTTCATTAATCTTCCTATCCTTGGCCATGTCGGTGGGTCCAGCTTCCCTTAGAGTATCTAGTCCGTCCTTCCCAGAGCGACACCTAGTCCTGTATGCCCAGGTACGATTAATTGCTTATTCAGGAGAAAGACTTAAAATACACAGTATACATATTGTATAGATAAATGTTGATATTTGTATGCCATGCATTATACACTAATTCATAGGGTCTAGTATTCGATCTGTGCTTTTATCTCGTTCTGAAATATTATCATCTAACTCTGTCTTTCTTAAATATCAATTATTTCTCTCTTTTCAGAAGCTCAGCAATGAAAAGAAAACACAAGAAATCGCCACGACAGTGCCAGAAATTTCTCGCCTTTGAACCCCTCAAGGGAGGTGCCTTCATGCCACAAAGAGGCCCTTGATCCAAGGAACCGGATATATCCTTGCCCTCCTTTCATCAAACTTCATTGTTTCCAATTACATAGGCGTTATATTACTCATACAAGTTTAGCGTTTCCCCTTGATTAAAAAAAAAAAACTATCCCTGAGTCACTTTCGTTATAATATGAACTTTAAGCGGATATAAAAGCTGAAAATTGGTGGAAATATAAAACTGTGTATGCAAACAATATAGCGACAGTTTGACATGACTTAAGAAATCGTAATGACACGATTGCAAATAAACCATACCCCCGGCCGGGATTGAACCCGCGGTCATAGAGTCTCAAAACTCCAGCCCGTCGCGTTAGCCACTAGACCAGCTAGCCACAATAAGATTCATCCAACTAGGTATATTTCTACACAGAGGTGCCTGTGCTAACCTTCCTATGGTGTAGAAATATACCTAGTTGGATGAATCTTATTGTGGCTAGCTGGTCTAGTGGCTAACGCGACGGGCTGGAGTTTTGAGACTCTATGACCGCGGGTTCAATCCCGGCCGGAGGTATGGTTTGGCGACAGTTTCATAACATCCCACATCAGCGTTTTCCGCCATCAGAAAAAACGCCATATTGTGAAAAAAAAAGGCTGGTAAATGCTAATATAAAAATTTCTTAATTTAATTCTGATTTTCGCCTTCTTCATGCAAGGAAAATATTCTTCCCTTGGATCGAATGTGCACGTGCTGTATGGCCCCTACAGATATAGCACTTCCCTCATATAATACTATTAACAATAATTCCCAGAAATTTTTAGTTCCTGAAAATAGCGGAAGTTTCAGGTAAAGCATAAATTTTCTTCTTTGCGAAGTTTCATAATATAAAGTATATATTTACACGTGAGTGTTGAGAGGAGCACCACATGTCAACAATAAAATACCAATGAAAATTGAGACTATATTTCGACCCCCACCTGGAATCCTCACCAGTAGAATGTATAGTACATGGCAGGTAAGATGCAGCATATATAGAGATAATAAGTCAAATGAAAAAGACGCATCTTACGAGAAGGAATGTAGCCTTAATTAAAATTCAGACTGTGTTGGTGTAAATCTGCGGATACACTATCAGAATTAAATGCTTGCAACAGCATAACTTCTTACTTACTATGACTGGAGATTGCCTCTTCTGGTCACCTTCACACGTAAGTGCTGGTTAAGTAAGGTTTGTCAGGAAACAAGTGTTTCCTGACGTGGGTCTTACTTATATGATGACCCGCTGCGGCTTTTATATATATATATATATATAATATAAAAATTTTATATATATAATATATATATATATATATATATATATATATATATATATATATATATGGGTTCCCCCTTTCGGGTGTAAATTGTGGTTGTTAGTTATTTAATATGTTTATTATGCACCCCATACCCATCCTGTGGGCGGTAGTCAAAAGATTACAGAGGTACTTTAATTGGTCCAGGGACTGGACTCCAAAGTTTTGATAGCTGAGCAAGTTACAGAGGTAATGAACTCACAATTTACAAAGGTAATGAACTCACAATTTACAAAGGTAATGAACTCACAATTTACAAAGGTAATGAACTCACAATTTACAAGGTAATAAAACTCACAATTTAAAAAGGGAAATTTGAACTCCAGGTAGGTCTATTTCACATCATAAACAAGTTAAAAGGTATTTACAGATTACAGAGGTACACAATGGGTCCAGGGACTGGGCCCCAAAGTTTTGATAGCTGAACTAGGTACAAAGGTAATGAGCTCGGAGAAGTGGATAAAAAGGCTTCAAGGAAGAATACTTGGATTTCTTCCTGAAGCCGTTTGAATATTCCACTTCCCCTACCACCCCATCTTTTCATTCTTTTTTACCAATAGGTAAAATTTTATTACATAATATGGTACAAAAAGGTTTAAGAGATACATTGTTGATATAAAGATGGCATATACAGTACATGAGATGTGAGAGATACATGTCTAGTACATATTGTAACAGTTTGTCACTGATTAAAATGCGAAAATCTCATCCAGCTCTTCAGAGCTGGGGCGCGTGCCCAAAATACAGCAGGCATTACCCCTCTGATCAGCAGCGCTGAGTCGCTGGAACAGAAAACTAGCTGCCCTGTGATCCCTAGTTACTCTGATGAGTCTTTTGCCTAGCTCCTTTAAAGGGAAATTAGATGCACTCTTTCCCCATGAGCCAAGGGTCTCTGAGCTTATGGGAAAAAAACATATAATGATGGGCAAGTTCTCCATATTTTCTAGACTTTTGGGACTCCCTGAAGCTGGCGGCTGCCCCTCCTTCCTCCCTGGTATATTGGAGATAGGTATCAGCCAAGGTAGATGCACATGTTTAGTCCCATACCACCTGCTTCCCGTCTGTCCAGGCTTGAAGAGTGATACCATCTGGACGCTTCTGGCTACCATCAGATCTGCATAGTTGGGGTGGATCCCTTACTGCTGGGCATCCACTGTTGTGAGGCTCCTCTTGATAATGTTATTAACCTCCTCATGTCCTTTCAATCTTTCACTGGGATTTATGGCACACAGACCATATATATATATATATATATATATATATATATATAATATATATATATATAATATTTTATATATATATTTTATATATATAAAATATATAAAATATGTATACAATAAAAAATCACAGTAAACAGGTGATATCAAAATATGCAGAACAACCACTGTGAAAGAATAGTGAAATTCCAAGGGCTCTCGTGACTTCTCACATTATCAAGGAACTATGAAGACAATACATCAAAGGAAGGCATATAAAGGATCAAGACTACACCTCACCATCACATCCCACAACAAAGCAACACCTGACGCATGACGACACCCGACTCATAAGAAAGTAGGAAAACTGCAGCAAGTCAGTTGGCCCATACTAGGCAAGTCCTTCGCAATCCATCCCACTAACAAAATATTTGCTCAACCATAGTACTCTACCCAAGAATTAAGATTTATTATTTGTCCAATGTATTATTAAATTCTTCCCAAATTTTATTAATTATAAATGAATCTAATTTACATAAACCAAAGGAAATATTCATATTATTTTCAAAACTGCTTTTTATTCCTGTCGACCATGGACTTGCTTGATACAACTTTCTAACTTTTTGAAAATCAATTGGATGGTTAAAATCTCTTACATGAATAAATTGAGCATTAGGATCTTGTCCAGTTCTAATGATATATTTAAGAACATAAGAAAGAAGGAACACTGCAACAGCCCTACTGACCCATGCGAAACAGGTCCATGTTTCCCTCCCCCCCCGGATTAGCCCAGTGACCCACCTAGTAGGTCACTTCCACGTAAAGGAGCAAGGCATCAGACCTAGTAGCACAACCTAGTCAGGTCCAACTCACACCCACTCATGCATTTATCTAACCTATTTTTAAAACTACACCACGTAGTGGTGGATGAATGCAGTTTGTTCCATTCATCCACAAGTCTATTACTTAACCAGTGCTTTCCTATATCTTTCCTGAATCTGAATTTTTCCAACTTGAAACCATTGCTTCGAGTCCTGTCTTGGCTGGAAATTGTCAGCACGCTATTTACATCCCCTTTATTTATTCTTGTTTTCCATTTATACACTTCGATCTATCCCCCCTAATTCTACGCCTTTCTAAAGAGTGCAGATTCAGGGCCCTCAGTCTATCCTCATAGGGAAGATTTCTGATACATGGGATCATCTTTGTCATCCATCCTCTGTACGTTTTCCAAAGCATTTATATTCATTCTGTAATACGGTGACCAGAACTGAGCAGCATAGTCTAAATGAGGCCTAACCAAGGATATATAGAGTTGAAGAGTAACCTGCGGACTTCTATTATTTATACTTCTGGATATGAAGACAAGGATTCTGTTAGTTTATTGCGAACACTGATTCACTGTTGTCTTAGTTTTACATTACTTGCTAACCAGAACTCCTAAATCCTTTTTACAATCAGTAGTATTAAGATCTACATTATTTAGTTTATATGTGGCATGGTTATTTTTCCATCCAATATTTAGAATTTTGCATTTGTCTATATTAAACTGCATCCGACACTTCTCCGACCATTGCATCAGTCTATTTAAATCATCCTGTAATGCTCTAGTGTCCTCATTAGAATGAATTGGCCGGCCTATTTTTGTGTCATCAGCAAATTTGTTTATGTCGCTATTTATTCCCTCGTCTATGTCGTTTATGTAAACTGTGAACAACAAAGGGCCCAACACTAATCCCTGTGTAACACTGCTTGTGACGTGCCCGCATTCTGATTTCTCCCCATTTACGCAAACTCTCTGCTGCCTATTTGTCAGCCATGCCTCTACCCAGGAAAAAAATTTCTCCTCCTATTCCGTGTGCCTTAATTAAGTTTCCTCAATATCCTCTGATGTGGAACTCTATCGAAAGCCTTACTGAAGTCCATATACACAATATCATATTCATTACCATGATCTACCTCCTCAAACACCTTAGTAAAAAAAGTTAGTAAATTCGTAAGACAAGAGCGCCCCTTTGTAAAACTGTGTTGAGATTCATTAATCAATTTATGCCTATCAAGATGGCTACGAATTGCTTCGGCAATTATTGATTCCATAAATTTTCCCACTATGGAGCTAAGGCTTATTGGTCTATATTTCGAAACTAAGGACCTGTCACCTGCCTTGTAAATAGGTATAACATTTACCATATTCCACTTATCAGGCACTATGCCAGTTTGTAGTGATATGTTGAAAAGATTAGCCGAAGGTATGCTAAGTTTCTCTTTACATTCCTTTAACACCCTTGCAAACAGTTCATCAGGGCCTGGGGATTTGTTAGGTTTTAATATCTCTATTTGTCTGACGACCATGTCACTAGTTACAGCAATCGTGCACAGGTTATTATCGTTCTGTTCTACATAATCTATTATTTCAGGAATTTCGCTAGTATTTTCATGGGTAAAAACTGAGAGGAAGTATTGAGAATTTCACACATCATCCTTATCGCTGTCAGTGATCTGACCAGAGTTACTCTGAAGTGGGCCTATCTTGTCCCTAATCTTACTTCTGTATACCTGAAAGAACCCTTTTGGGTTAGTCTTTGAATCCCTCGCGACCTTAGCCTCATAATCCCTTTTTGCTTTTCTAATTCCTTTTTTTTTTATTTCTCTCTTTAATTGAATACACTGATTTCTTAACTGCCCTTTCCCTCTTTTGATACGCCCATATATGCCTCTCTTTTGACCAATGAGATGTTTTAATCTATTGTTCATCCATTTTGGATCATTTTTGTTAG